TAGCGATATATGGAGCGACTGCCTCTTCTTGCTGCTACTTCAATCATGAAACTGCTTAATGATCAGCTGATCGGCTTTTCTGTCGCGAGTCCGTGTCTCTTGTTTGCTTTTGGCCCACTTTGCACCAGAAAGAGGAAACCAGCGGCTGAACAACAGCAGCACGTTTAAGCTTGATCAGCTGTTGTTAGAATTTATTTAATATTACTTTCTACTAGGATCTTTTTCTACGTAGCTGACGGCTGGTAACTGTGCAGGGGCGGATCTAGCAAAGTTTAGCCAGGGGGGCCGATAGGGCATTAACAGGGAAAAGGGGGCACAAAGACATACTTTTCTTTCTTATTCTCATTTAAAATGTCTAGCTTTTAATAAATAATTATCCAAATCTTACACCCAAAGTTTTAATTTGATGTAAAATGAATAGAAGTCCATTACTGTATATAGTAACTATTAAGTCTAATATACCCTAGTAAGCTATAGTACTTTTTCCTTTGGGAAGGTACCATCTGTGCAGTCTGCAATTTTGTTGAAGAAAGATGTTGAATCTATTTAATATTTCTTGAAAAATAATTGATTTCTGTGCATTTTTTTTCACACTGCATCAAATTAAGGTTGATTATGTCGATTAAGCATCATGAGGTGGAGCGTGAGGGGTGGTTCCCTATTTTTTATTTATTTATTTTTGTTGTTGCTGGGAGTTGGAACCCTATTAGTTAGGTTGCTTAATATTTACGCTAAGTACTCTTTAAAATACCAGAATAGGGAGGATGGTGTAGGTTTAAGTTTATTAGATTGATCAGTATTGCTGAACTATGAAATATTTTTTTTTTTGCATACAGGTATAACAGAATAGCTTTAGTGTAGTTGTTGTTTTAAACTTGAGTATGAACTTATACAAAATGCAGCAAGATATTAAAAAAACAGTTTTATTGATTAAAAACACACTATATCGGATTCATATCGGTATCGGCAGATATCCAAATTTATGATATCGGTATCGGACATAAAAAAGTGGTATCGTGCCATCTCTAGTATTTTACTGTCAGCCTTTCCCTCATTGCCGGGTTTCAAAAGTGATTGTTCACTGCTGTGAGCTGATTCTACTGCTAATGATTCTACTGTCAGCTGATTCTACTGCTAATGATTCTACTGTCAGCTGATTCTACTGCTAATGATTCTACTGTCAGCTGATTCTACTGCTAATGATTCTGTCAGCTGATTCTACTGTAATGATTCTACTGTCAGCTGATTCTACTGTCTGTCAGCTGATTCTACTGCTAATTTCTACTGTCAGCTGATTCCACTGCTGAGTCAGCTGATTCCACTGTCAGCTGATTCTACCACTGCTGTCAGCTGATTCTACCGTGTTGATTCTACTGTCAGCCGATTCTACTGCTGCTGTCAGCTGATTCTACTGTAAATGATTCTACTGCTGCAGTCAGCTGATTCTACTGTCAGCTGATTCTACCTGCAGTGATTCTACTGTCAGCTGATTCTACCGTCAGCTGATTCTACTGCTACTGTCAGCTGATTCTACTGCTAATGATTCTACTGTCAGCTGATTCTACTGCTGCTGTCAGCTGATTCTACTGTAAATGATTCTACTGTCAGCCGATTCTACCGCTGTTGATTCTACTGTCAGCTGATTCTACTCAGCTGATTCTACTGTGTCAGCTGATTCTACTGCTAAGGTTCTACTGTCAGCTGATTCTACTGCTAATTGATTCTACTGTCAGCTGATTCTACTGCTGTGAGCTGATTCTACTGCAAATGCTTCTACTGTCAGCTGATTCTACTGCTGCTGTCAGCTGATTCTACTGTAAATGATTTTACTGTGAGCTGATTCTACTGCTAATGATTCTACTGTCAGCTGATTCTACTGCTAATGATTCTACTGTCAGCTGATTCTACTGCTAATGATTCCACTGTCAGCTGATTCTACTTAATGGTCAGCTGATTCTACCGTCACTGCCATTCACTGATTCTAGTGTAAATGATTCTACTGTCAGCTGATTCTACTTCTGATGTCAGCTGATTCTACTGTAAATGATTTTACTGTCAGCTGATTCTACTGCTAATGATTCTACTGTCAGCTGATTCTACTGCTAATGATTCTACTGTCAGGTGATTCTACTGCTGCAGTCAGCTGATTCTACTGCTAATGATTCCACTGTCAGCTGATTCCACTGCTAATGATTCCACTGTCAGCTGATTCCACTGCTAATGATTCCACTGTCAGCTGATTCTACTTCTAAATGATTCTACTGTCAGCCGATTCTACTGTAAATGGTTCCCCTGCCACTGTCAGCTGATTCCACTGCTGCAGTCAGCTGATTCTACTGCTGCTGTCAGCTGAGACCCCTCCTGCAGCAGGTTTGAGTGACACTACCAGGTTTAGTTCTGGTTCAAGATGAGTTTAACTTGGGTTTGCATTATGTTTAAGCTGGAACTGTGTTACCTTTGAGGGCGGGCAGCTTCTGTAACTCTCTATTTTTGGTCAGGCTGAAGCGGGACGAGCTCTGGCGGCGCTCTTTCTTCACCAGCTGAGGACCTCCGGAGTATTTGATCTTGTTGAGTTGGGTGGGAGGGGGCGTGCTGTTACTGGGACGCTTACTGCCGCTCTGCTGCTGGGACTGATAACACATGCACAGGTTATAAAACAGGTTTCGGAGGAAACAGTGAGCCGATATTTAATTATCCGTTTGTGTCGCTGATGTTAATGAACAAACACCGGCCATTCAATATCTGACTTGAATCTATGGCACTTCCTGTTCTGGACCTCTGTGCTGTATTGATCAACTATCAATACCAGTTATTTTCAGGTTAGCTGCAGTGGAGTAAGAACCTCTGATTTAGCTCACTAAATCAGAGTGAAAAAGGTGCACACAGGTGAGAGTCACAGAGGCTTCATGGAGACAGAATCAGAAGAGTTGTGTTGCTCTGAACAGACTGGTTCTTAAACACTCCCTGAGTGTGTTGTTTCTATATAACACTCACAATGCAGCTCCGAGTTCAGCATCCTGCTCAAGGCCACTGTGGCACAGACTGGTGCAGCCAGGGATCGAACCACCAACCTTCTGATTATCAGATGACCTGCTGTACCTGCTCCCCTGAATGAGCCTCTGAGGGCCGTTTGATACCACGCGTCTACATCATGGTACTAATGGGTGGCGTGTGGTGGCGAGGAATGTCTCAGAATCAGAAGACTTTACTTATCCCCAAGGGGCAATTAACCAACAACAGTGCAGCATAACGTTGAAGATAAGGACAATAAGAACAGGCAATAAGAGTGAAATAATAAATACATAGAATATACAGTATATACAGTTTTACAATTACACAGTTAAAATTAAAGTGACTAAAAGTGAATGAAGTGTCGGTAGAATAAGAAGAGTGTAGTTTCTGTTGTGGGAAATGTTCTTATCTGCTCGAGTTAAAAAGCAGAGTGGCTGCGGGGACAAAGGTGGCGCTCCTCCTTCTCTCAGTCCTGCAGGAAATGCAGCGGAGGCGTCGCCCAGAGGGGAGCCATTGAAATGCGGGGTGAAAAATGTGAGAGGGGTCATTGATGATTTTGGCTGCCTGTCAAAGGACCTGTTGGCTGAAAACCTGCCAGAGTTCTGACAGGCCAATGACTGTAGAACACACTGATGCAGTGTGCTGCAGTCTGTTCCTGTATGAAGGCTGAGGGAGTGGAACCAGCAGCTGATGG